TGGTCATTGTTTAGCAGTGTTTCAGCTTTTGATGTAACAAACTAGTTAGCAACATGTTCTAAAGAGACAGCTTAACGCCACATAAGCATCTGTACCAGAGATGCTCAAAGGAAATGCAAAGCTGCAGATGTTTACATACAGTCAGGGCGTGAATGTCATGCTAAATTTGGGCTTTTATCTACTTTTTTTGAGCTGTTCTTTCCCAGGATGGATTTATTGTACAGCAAATATAATTGATGACATTAAAAACCTCAGTCATTTGTAGTTCATAGTCATTCTAAAAACACAGATGCATTGTATAAGCAAATAACCTTTACTCTAGTAAAGACTATACTTGGTGGCCGAAGAATTAAATTTGACCACAGCAGAAGCAGCATTAACTGAGACCATTTTTCGTGTGCTTTGGCACTTTTAATAAAATGTTAGAGCCTTTTTATTATTTTTTTTTCTTTGGACGAAACCATTAAAAGCACACTAATCTGTGTGTGTGTCTGTTTTGTTTATTTTTCAAGAACTAATTGATGAAATAGGAGTAGTCAATACATCTTTTTTTTATGTCATTTCAATTCACTTGGTGAAATATTTGTGTTATTTTTATTTTTCTTCTACTCTTGAAATAGAGTTGTGAAGCTGTCAGCGGACCAGGCTCCAGGTTTAAGGGTAAACATTCCCTCGACAGCGATGAAGAGGATGAAGGAGAGGACACAAACAGCAGCAAATATAATATTTTAGACAGTGATGATGTTGAGGGTATGTTGATTATTTAAGCTGTATCTGTAACTCTTAAGTGGTCCTGTTTACTCTTCACATGTTTATTTCCCCCACATTGAGTCAAATTTAGAACTGTCCCTTTATTTCTTTAAAGGGACAGTTTGATTTCATAGAATTTGGATTTTATGAGATATTATGATCCCTTTTATTTCCCCCTGGAATGTTTTGCGTATAGTAGAGGTAGTGCCACTTTAGGGGATAACATATCATAGGTCTGTTAAGTTGACAGTAATTTTTGGCCAAATGAGTTTTAGTTGACTGGTGATTTCAGTGTGTCTTTGTCAGCTGAACAGTTACAGAGACACATCGTACACCCTCGTGTTATCTGAGCAAATTTTGGAGGATTCACTTGAGCATTGCCTTGTTTTACTTGGCCTTCATGCGTTGGTTGTACTGTCTTTTTAGTTAGATGTGTTGCTTTAAAGTGCAGACACACAGCACTTTGCATATAACTTCTACTTTGTTAACATTAGTTGCTAAACCCAAAGCATTTCGAAACACCAAATGATGAGTCACTCTGAGGGACAAGCAATTCACCTTCAACAGTGCCAAACAGTTTATTTTTGTTGTATATCTGTCTTTTAACACAGTTTTAGTCATCCAGACTACATCTAGGTAATTTCAGTTTGTGTGGTACATTCACACATGTGGTTAGGGTAGTCAAGGTTTTAACTGTTGGAGCATGTACAGGGTGGGCCATTTATATGGATACAGCGTAATAACATGGGAATGGTTGGTGATATTAAAGTCCTGTTTGTGGCATATTAGTATATGAGAGGGGGGAAAACTCCTCAAGATGGGTGGTGACCATGGTGGCCATTTAGAAGTCGGCCATCTTGGATACAACTTTTGTTTTTTCAATGGGAAGAGGGCCATGTGACACATCAAACTTATTGGTAATGTCACAAGAAAAACAATGGTGTGCTTGGTTTCAAC